CGGGAGCGCCGCTGCGCTCCCAAGCAGCGCACTGTAGCAGTGCGCCACCGGGCCAGCCCAAGAATACTGTAAATTTTGATTTTTCAAAAAAGCAGTTCTCTTGTCAGCTAATAATTTAGATTAGTTACCCATAAAATTATCTTTTCAAGTAACTATGCAGTTNCGGGAGCGCCGCTGCGCTCCCAAGCAGCGCACTGTAGCAGTGCGCCACCGGGCCAGCCCAAGAATACTGTAAATTTTGATTTTTCAAAAAAGCAGTTCTCTTGTCAGCTAATAATTTAGATTAGTTACCCATAAAATTATCTTTTCAAGTAACTATGCAGTTGTAAAATAGAAGACTGGGGGTGAATCATTGTTCTGCCTAAAAAATTTTTAATTCTATATTTAGTTCTAGAAAGATTAAATTTCATTAAGAAAATGGCTTAAGGAAAACAGATTTAAATACTGTTGATGCCTTAATGTGGGTTATATTTCATTTTCTATTTTACATGTTACACTCATTTATCCAGAATTGTTGAAAATAGAGCATTATTCTCATTTATGAAAGTATGTTAATGTTATAAATATTATCAGATAACTTTACTGCAACTTAAATTTCTTAGACCCAAAGTTGCCTGTAAAAAATAACAGTGCTGGCATTTTGCCATGACAGAAACTGAAACCTGTTTTCTCAGAGTGACTTATTCACACTTAGCCTATGCCAATGGCATTGATAAGGATAAGCAATTTTGGCTCCATGAAGTATTAGAGAAACAAAAATGGCACATATAAGGAGACCACCCATCTCTAAATGGGGATTCTCCATGTGGTACATATGAAATAAGATTAAATGAATTCACCTATAAGTTCTAATAAAGATGCTGGCTGGATAGAGTTACTTTACCCTACTGCAATTTTTACGGTGTGATCTCTTGGGTAATCATTCAACACCCTTAAAAAGGCCGATAAAAGCTAAGGCTGCCAAATAAGCTGCAAATTTGTTTTATGGACTAATATCCCCATGGGAATAAAGTACAGTTTCTCTTGAAAACTGCTATACTGTGGTTTGCCCTTTATATGGTCATGATAAAAGGACATTTCCACCCCCTTACAAACAACTACACTCATATTAGCTCCTTTATCTATATACATTGCATCAGAATTTCATTTCAAATGGATGTTTTGTCTAGGTTAAGCATTAGAGCTGAAGAAAATTATGCATTGAAATTGGAATTATAGGAGCAACAAAATATTTGATTTGCTCTTAATTTCATTACATGCTATTACTTAGAGTACATTGTTTATAAGCTTTTAATGTAATATTGGTGAGCATAAACAATAAGAGGTAAGCTTCTCCCAGTGTGTGTGTGTGTGTGTGTGTGTGTGT